GATTTAATAAAACCTTCCTCAATAATACTATTCATAATACTTACTATTCTCTTACTGGACATGTAAAAAACAACAAACAACTTTGCAATTATGTGTTGAAACTTCCTTAACTCCCAGAATGATAAAACCAACATGATTTCATAATACAAATAACAATGGTATGCAGAATTTGAAGGAGGTATGATTATATTGAATGATTCAACCTCAACAGTATAGGTATCAACATGGATTTGTACTGCTAGCCAAAATACCAAGACATGGAAATCTTACCTTTTCATATTTGGCCCACCATTCGTGTAAAAAATCATGTCAGATGTAAAATGCACATTCATAACATGGCAACATGATGGACAAGCATATAACAGAAGACCAAACAATAGAATATTGCGTAACCGTACAACATAGCATAGTAGACATTATAGTCAATTTGGAAAAAAAAAACATACCACTTGCCAACTACTACATACATACAACCTACCAACCAAAACAAATCAACTACGAAACAACAACATTACAACAACTAGACACAAGACGAACGTCACAATTTGAAGGACATGCAAAGAGTGCCGCAGGTTGCGGATGTCAGCCTTAATTGGAAGACCATGTCCATAAGTGAGTTTTGAGTGCCAGACACGAGTGTTTGGCCATATTCGTCACACCAGCCAATCCAAGAACGACATGGCTAAATAGACACACGTATTAGTGTAGAAACTTTGTAAAAGCAATTTCATGTGAATACTCACCACTGCACTAGGGCATTGGTAGTAGGCACGACCAAATTTTTGGAAGATCTTGAAATCTTCACAACACACAGGCCAAAGCCACAGGTACAAAAGGGTGTTGTACGCGCAGACGTGGCAGAGAACACAAACGAAGCCATCGTCTGTTTTGGGAACAACCATAGATGAAAGCAATGAAATGATAACATGGACATGGTTTTCAAGTTCTCTTATATATTAATTTTGCTTTGTGTGGACATAGTGTATGTGTGCAATAATTTGGGAAACAATGCATTCATGTATCCCCTCATACCTACCTTGTTGTTGCATCACATTTCTTATCCTGACAAATGCATTATCGTATGTTTTGTCATTTTTATGTCCAATTTGCATGCATTTAAGAAGAAAATGACAATGGTTTCCCTCATGTGTATGAGATTAATTTGTTACTTTACTTTATTTCTTTATAATACCTTACTCTTGCCATAATGCGAATTTTCAGACAAAGAGTTTCAAGTGTCGCCATTAATTTGATTTCTTTGTGAAGAGTGTGTGTGAGATTAATTTCACAGGTAATAAAATGTTATTGTTTTTAGTGGCCAACAATTTTGATTTCTTAATTTCCTATAGTTTTCTATTACTACCAAAAAATAAATAAAAATAAAAATGAAAAATAAAAGCACCCTTAATGGATCATGTACATATTTTCAAAAATAAGAATGTATAAATATAATCTAATACTTCTTAAACATAAATGATAACAAGTGTTTTTGGGTGTTATTTAGAGTGAAAAGTGTTTTGCAAAACATGAAAACATGAAGGGAAAAAAAAATCCTTTTAATAAACAGTCTGTCAAATTTTGAACTTTCTTTTTTTTCTTATTTTTTTCTTTTTCTCTTTTACAAGTGTCTGGATACACTTGTTCACAAAATTCATTGTCGATTTCAAGACAAATATCTCATGCCATTTACACTTTACATGAGGCAATTGTGATCTTTTACAGTTTGTACTTGAAAGTGTAGCTAATTTCATACTTCAGAATAACAAGAATTGTTTTAATAGTTGAGAAATAGAACAATTATGTGTTTTAATTATAAATTTAAGTTAAAATTAAGAAAAAAAAAATCATGAAAATAAAGCCACAATGTAACTTATGTTTCATTTCATATTTAAGTGTTAACTTTGTTTTGTTGTCAAACAGAGACAAGACGAGTGGGAAAGAGGAGACAAATAAAGTAACAATTTATAAAGTAACAATACGCCAATCCGAACAAATAGAGGGAAAGATGAGAGAAATAAAAACAAAGGAGAGAAATTTCATCACAGAAATGAACAAACAGGGGGAAAGATGACAGAAATGAAAACAAAGACAATACCGACTTTGCCAAATTGTTATTAAACCCAGATAATTGCAAACACAAATTCATATGCCAATCCGAAGTATGTTAGGAAAAAAAAAAAGGTAAACAATTTGTGCAAAAGGGGGACTTGTTACGGATTTTGTACATGGGAAAAAATAGATAGATAAATGGAGATGTTACCTTCCACTTTTGGGGAGGAGCCAGGTTGAAATGGTGAAGATCTGTTCAGCGGTGGTGCAGATTTGGACGCTGGTTGGTCCTTCCCGTCCAGTACTGGTGATGCTGTAAAGGGGAGGTGGTGGTGGAGCTCCGGCATGAGCGTAACAGACAGTCGCTTGTTGGAACGGCTTTGGTGATGCTGTAAGAGGGAAGTTATGGCGGAGCTTTGACAGTCAGCGTTGTAAGCATCACAGACTGTTGCGGCTTTAAAGACAAGTGTGTACGCCTGTGTATGGAGAACAAGAGGAGATGTTGAGGTGAGAAGTTATGTGAGGTGCGAAGTTATATGCCCTAGATGTAAGTTATTTGTGTATTCTGCGAGGACCAAACAAAAGAAGGGCATTTCGGTCTTTTTACCTCCAACTAGTGTTGTTGTTTTCCCGTTCCTTGGCTTTTGTGAATAGTGTTAACTTTTTTACTTTTTTAGTAACTTTTTGGTTTTTTGTCTTTTATAAGATATCCCAAACAACCACTATATCTTTAATCTTCAAAACAAAAAAACAAAAAATAGTGTGTGAAATTTGAAGTAGAGGGTGAATGTCATAATTTTTTTTTTTAAATAATCAAAGCAAAGCTGGTGAAATGGGTAAGGATCACATTCTATCATTTTTACTCCAAAACAAACAATAAAATGAAGACCAAATGGAGAGAAATTATAATGAAAACCAAAGGGAGAGAAACGGGCCTCGTCGTCGCCTTGCGTTCGTCACTCTCTCTGTTCATCTCTCGCCGCCTCCAGTCGCCTCACCGCTTCCTCTCCTCACATCGTCTTGCCTCCGTCGCCTCTCCGTTCGTCACCTCTGTCATCTCTCCTCGCCTTGCCTTGCCTTCGTCACTTCTCCATTTTTCGCCTCTCTGTTCGTCTGTCTCAAAGGCTAAGGCAAGGTGATGCTAACTGAGCCAACTCTAACCCCAAAACCAATGCAAATGTAGACAAAATAAATGAATTGGATGCACCCATATCAATCAACACATTAGTAATTGAATTGCAAAACAAGAATGTACCTCTCACTATCGACGGCGTTGGTACTAGATCTAGCGCAATAACAACATACACACGCCCAGTAGGTCTCTACTCAACCTGCTCACCCCTCGGAGCATAATCCTGATGCACTGACTGAGCCGAAGAGGCTCCTTGATTGGCCATCAAGGCTTGTGCTGACTGTGCAGACTGGTGGCTTTGTGCATGCCTCGAACCAAATGCACCGGGTGTGCCACTAAACTAAGGGCAAAATCTCTTCATGTGCCCCGCCTGTCCACACTGATAACAAGTAAGTGGCTAGCCTCTCCCCTGACTCTGGCCCTGAGAATGAACCGAAGACGATGCAGGTCGTTGCCCTCCTTCTCTTTATGGGCAAGCTAGAGACTTATGGCCCAACTGGTCACACTTGTAACAAGTAAACTCTCCCTGACCACCTCTCCCGGAACCGAAACTCGGCACTAGAAAGGTAGACCTCGACTGTACTCCCTAGGACGGCTATGGATTAGAACCCCTCTGCCTCTTATTGTCCTCCTGAACATCCTGACTCCTCTTGGAGCCCCTCATCTCCTCCTCCTCCATCTGCATCACGGTCTCTAGAAGAGCCACCGCTACCGCCTCCACAAGGCATCCATAATCTCTAATCATTAACCTAGCTACTTTAAACATGAACCCGGTCCTCAACCTCTTCTCAAACTCCAAACAACGGTGCTCCTCTGTCGCCACTAACTCTGGTGCAAACCTAGAGAGGCTAGTAAATGTGGCCTCAAACTTGGCCACCGGAGTGTTCAACTGCACAAGCTTTGAGAACTGATCTCTCAACTTCTCCCTAACTGTGGGAGCACTACAACAAAACTAACTATTTATGGCATGCGTTAAATGCACGTCGTAATTAGTATATTCTACGATAATTTTTTTTTTTTTGCAAGTCGTTAATGTTTTGTCAATAACAATAACAGTATACATACTATGTAAGTCGTTAATTCATATATTTATGGCATGCAAAATATGCCGTAAAAAATGTATGTTTTTACGACTTACAAAAATATGTCGTAAAATATTTCCACTTAAGACGGCATACATTTCATGTTGTAAAATATTATAACTTTACACGATATGCTAATGAATGTCGTGAAAATTTATACCAAAAAAAAAAAAAATTCAATCCGATTTTTTTATGACATGCAAAAGTATGTTGTAAAAAAATGTATACTTTCACGGCATACAAAAATATGTTATAAAATATTTGTACTTAAGACAATATACATTTCATGTCGTAAAATATTAAATTTTATATATTTTTAATTTAGTTTTTTTTAGAAAATTAAAAAATATTTTCCTTCTAAGTATATGTAAATTATTTGAATTTAAAAAGTAAAAACATATATATATTTAAAAACTTACACCACACTTCTTCTCATTCTCAATCCATACATGTTTTCATCCCAAATCCTCTCATTCTCTAGAGAAATTATATTTTAATTATAAATAATAATAAAAAATTTTAGATGTTCTTAAATATTTATAAATTTCTAGTAGATATGAGAATTTTTTTTTCCAATAAACTAGATATTCTATTTATAATTTAGATTTTTTTATGCAAAAATAATTTATAAACTTATACCTAAATCTTTTTGTCTAAAATTTTCTACTCCAATTTTTTTTTATTTTATTAATATTGTCAGAGTTTTAACAATTTATCAATTCACACATTATATTAGCTCACACATTTTTTTCCATTCTTGTCATACGTCTCTCTCTCTCTCTCTCTCTTCTCTTTCTCTCCTTTCTCTCCATTGACATCTCACACAAACACACGAACACCACCACCGACCACCACCAGCCACTGCCCCTCCGATGATGTTAGTTACACGAGCACCAATCGATTGATTTAGAGCCACAGTGATGTTAGTTACACGAGCACCAATCGGTTGATTCCGAGCTTGGCGTTCGATTCAAATTCCGAGGTTGGAGTTCGATTCTGATTCTGAGCCCCTTCCATGGATTTGATTTCTTTGTGAGTTTCTAACGTATTCAGTTACCTCTCATTCTTGAAGCGTTCGTATTTGATGCAATTGGTGTGTTAGGTTAAATGACGGTGAAACGATTGTCAATGATGGATTGGAATTAATTATGTGATTTTTTTGTAATGTTTCTCTGTGATTTGATCGGATTAATTTTGAAAGCAAGTGTCTTCATTCAATGTTTGTTAACCATTTCTGATCTGAGTTTTGTCTTCATTTTGGTTCTCTAGAGAAATTTAGAGTATGAATTGTGACTTATTGAGTTCCTCATGAAAATCAAACTTGCATTCATCTTTGTAATTTCATATGGTACTCTTTCCTTACCATTTGACAATCATTTGTTGACATTGTGGAAAACTTTCATTCATTTTGAAAGTAAATGTTGCTCTATTTCTGATTCAAATGGCAAGCATATTACTTTAAAAAGGCTAAGCAGATTGTGGCTTACTGTTTTCTGCATCGCATGACTAGTTCAGTCTAGGTTCACCCGAGGTTGGAGCACAAAATGTTGGTACATATCATTGAGTTAGCTTGAAGCTAGGGTTTTTTGGTTCTCAGTTGGAATCTGTGAATATAATGTTTTGGGGATTTGGGTTTTCTTTTCTGCTCAAAGTCCTTTTTTGGTACTATTGAAGCTCAAAATTGAGGATTTCTCTGGCTCTTGCTTATGATAAATTTGGCTCAATGAAGCTAAGATCTGAAGAGTTCCTCACTTCTTTGCGCTTTCTGGATTGTTGTATTTTGGGTTAGAAGTAGGGTATTGGAAGCTGTTGAGCTACCTAGAGCTGTCAATCTTGAGGTTGGGTGAATTTGAGGCAAGCAATTGGGGCTGGTGTGGTGAGTTTTGTTAGGGTTTAAGCTGAAATGTACTGGTTAATTTCGTGAAGGTTTGATTCATCAAGTTTTTAACTACACAAGGGTCTATTTGGGGTTGGGTGAAGAAGATCAAGTGCTGATGACGCCGAAATCAATTGTGTTTTGTAGTGGAACTGGTTTTGGTTGAAGGTTCTAGAGGGGGTTTCTTGGTGGTTTTGTCCATAACATCCATATGAAGTGTCTACATACAACAATCCTCCTCATTTCTTAGTAATATATTTGTTGGGTTTGGTGGTTTTGAGGAGTTCATTTAGATTTGGATGGAGTTTGTAGTGGCAAAGTGAAGGTATTATGGTGTTTTTGGCTGGGAAGGAAGTGCAAGAAGCCTTTGGGACATTTAGTGCTGAGCTATTGTGGTTATAGCTTTTGTGGTTACAAATTTTAGATGATATTATCATTTCAGAAATGAGGTTCTCTTCTGCTGGTTTCACTCAACAGTCTCCTAAAGGTATATTTCTCTGGGTTCTTTTTTTGTTGTTGTTGAATTTCAGTCTTTTTCCCTGTTTTCCTGTTTTGGAGATCTTTTAGTGTCTAGTTTAGTTACAAAATATTGTTGTTGTATCTTCTGGTTCTGGTTTTTTTTTTTTTCAGGAGGGGGGGTTATTTGTTGAATTTCTGTCATTTCCCTCTACATTTCACACATCTTTTCCCTTTCTATTTGCCAAATCCCTCTCCAAATCCATGAACCAAACACAGCGTTAGTGTCTAGTTAAGATGCAAAACATTGTTGTTAGACTGATTTCTTGTTAAAAAATTACATTGATAATCTGCAGGGGAGAAGAGATGTCTGAATTGTGAACTTTGGCATGCATGTGCTAGTCCTCTTGTTTCCCTACCTGCTGTTGGAAGCCGCGTGGTGTATTTCTCTCAGGGCCATAGTGAGCAGGTCAGTCTACTTTGATTGGTTTTGACATATTCCTTGCTTTTAGATTTTTGAAATCGGTCCGTGGCAGGCAATGTGTTTATTCATGCATACTTGGCAAATAAAATTTGTTTGTTTGTCTATTTTTATAAACATCCTTCTGTTATTTGGTATAATATGTTCCAACATATGTTAAGCATTGGGCTATTATGCTACGACTGCTACACTTGGCAACCATGCATCAACGCCACTGTTACTGTTATGGCAGCCACCACTGTTATTTAAAACCTTGATCACTCATTCTAGTCATCTCTTGAACTGTTATCACATATCTCTAAGTGCTTGTTTGCAGTTTAAACTGTTGTGTTCATATTAAAATTTGGATGATTATGGTTTTGTCTTGTTTATGATCTGGTTGATGAAATTAAACAGTTACTATTATTGACTTCTGCAAATCTTCATATACCTACGTAGGTTACTACATCAACCAACAAAGAAGTGGATGCCCATATACCTAACCACCCAAGCTTATCTCCACAACTCATCTGTCAGCTTCACAATGTGACCATGCATGCAAGGAATCTTTAGTTCTATTTTCTGGTTCTGGTTATTTTACAAGGTGGTTTCTAGAAACTCAATTTTTTTACTAGGCGAATGTGGAGATAGATGAGGTATATGCTCAAATGACCTTGCAGCCACTGAGCCCGGTACGCTAATCTATTATTGAAGTTTATTTACCAGTTTTATGATCTACTTTTTTCTTTTCTTTTCCCTAGATATAAGATGATCCATATTATAGGTAATCTTCTGATCAAACTCTTCTACCTTCTACACACAAATGGAGTGAAAACTCCTGGATATGTACTTTATTGAGTGAATAATAGTGAATGATGTGAATGCCCATTTTCTTATTAACAGTTGAATCTTGAAATTGTCAACTAGCAAGATGAGTAGAGAGGTACTTTATTTCTCATTTAACATAAAATTGAATTTATAACCAATTGTTGTCCACATTATTTCTTATTTGATGATAATGCAATTTAGGCCATTTAAACAGTGTACAATGACCTAAATGGTTTGTTTTTGGTTTGGAATGGATAGCCATGAACAATATTATAAAAAAAAATATTATACAAATTAACAATATATATATATATATATATCAAGAAAAGAATGTTATTGTTAAAAACTCCCATCACTACCCTTCTTATTTAATTTTATTTTTATTGATTTATTTATTTATTTAGCTTTTTTAATAATCAACAGAATTATAGAAGAGTTGTAGTGACTTATTGTTATAGATTATGCTTCTACACATTTACCTTACTTCACGAAAAAAGAAAAAAAAAAGAAGAAAAAAAAAGATGTTGAAATTTTTTATTTAGTTTTGAGTTAACTATGTGATCAAAACAGGAAACATGATGTTAAGCAATAGTTTTTAAGCACAATGCTACAAACATAAATTCACTGTGGAAATAGAAAAATGCAAGTATGATGCGTACAAACCAGAGGATTGTATGCAACAATCCCAATTCCTAGTTCTCTGCTTATATCAAAATAACAATGGTACAGATTAGAAAACACTGGATTCTTGTTTATTGCTTGCAAAACTTACTAGTTAACATAACAATAGTTCCACTACACCTCACCTGCAAGTAGGAATGATTTCTTCCTCTGCATCTCGTCCACAAGGACCACTCCAACTGCACTGCTGTTAGATGTAGCTAGCTTCACACCTGACTCATGAAATCTGAGGTAGTCATAACCCGACTCGTGAAATCCGCATCATATTAGGCTGAATTTTGGGGGAGTTTGGTCTCTCTCTCTCTCTCTCTCTCTGCATTTCAGGTAGTCTTTTCTTCTGCAACTACTTTCTCTATTGTTTATTGATTTGGATTTGTTTTTCAGAAGTTGCCCTTTATCGGTTGATTGGAATGGAGTTTTTTTAGCTTATCGTTTTTGGGTTTCTCTAGATTTTCAGTTTGAGGTAATCTAGCTTCACTGAATTTCAATGGAAAATGAACTTGGTGACCATTTGAACTCAATCTTGGAAATGGAGATGTTCTTATTTTGCTGTTCTGCGATTCTGAATTGTGTAATCTCTCTTTCCTTTATTTGATTTTATACTTGACATGAACTTGACGGTTTAGTCTTTTGATACATATATATATATATAATAAGATAATATGCCAATCAAAATATGCTATATACGTCTAAGTTTTGTGGATCTAGTACAGCAAATGTGGAACAGATCTTATCCCAGCATATGTGTAATCTCTCTTTTTTGGTTTATGCTCTCAGATTTGGATTACCCTTATCATACTATGGATTTTTTGCATCAATTTTTTTTGTAGAATCCAGATTGATGCATCTAGCATTAATTTTTCTCATGGTCCTTGATACTTTTAGGATAGATATTGATGATTTGGGGTTCTACACAAGTCTTGCATACTCTGATTGGTAGGCTACTCATATTCTGACATGTTTTCCTCTCTGTCCCCCTATCTGTCACTCTCTATATATAGGTATACCTATTGAACATTGGATTTGTTGAACAAGATAGAGGTTGCAACAACTAAACTGGTTGAACAAGATGCTCACTCTTTATTCTCTTGCTTTTTATTTACGTACATACATGCATGCCTAATTACGTGTGTAGGGTCAGTTATTTGGTGGAACAAATGATTCCCATAAATCTGTGTTTGATTTGGTATACTTTGCAGGGGATTTCACTGTTAAGGATGACACAAACAGGTATGATTCTTCCCTATGGCAATCAAGGTTGTTAAAATCGGGATCCTAAGTAGGATCGGTGAGAGGGTCTGGTGGATCGGATCGTAGGATCGGATCGAGGATCGTAAGATCCTACTTTCTATTAAAAAAAAAAGATAAAAATAAAAATTAAAATGATACATATTAAAAATAAAGTGAAAAATCATAAAATCTACGATCCTACTTGCGATCCTACCTACGATCCCATACGATCCTACACGATCCCATGCGATCCTACACAATCCTACTTGCGATCCTGTTATAGCATCGATCCTACAACGATCTGGATCGTTTTGGCAAAGTAGGATTGTAGGATCATACGATCCTACGATCCGGATCGCGATTTTAAGAACCATGATGGCAATGCAAGCACAAAATTAAGGATTTTTGTCCTTCGGTCACTAAATAAATCATCTGGCACAAAAAGTATTTGCTTATATATATATATATATATTATGCAATGGGGAGGAAGTATGCAGGTTCTTCACATCCTGAGGATAAATGCTATGTGAATTGTGGACGTAATGTATTGTAGTTTTTTGTTTGTTTGTTTGTTTGTTGTTAACCAAAGTGTATATTAATTGAAGGTTGAACCATGTGGTGCTGTGATACAATGAAGAATAATCTAGTACTTCACCAATTCGGTACCTTATTAGTTTGTAAAAGTCTGGAATCTGATAGGGTATTATGTATGTTGATTACATTGTCTTGAGTTTGGAAAGATTATCATGTATCATGTATCATGTATCATGTTTGTTGATTCCATTGTCTGGAATCAGAAATAGTAAACTACTACTTAGCTTTGCTTTATCTAATGTCATCTTATGTAATATGACAAGGTTTTCACCTTTTTTTCCTTTGGTTTTTCTCTCTTTCCTTCTCTTTTTTGGAAGAAATGGTGGGATTGGTGGCTGGGCTGAAATTACCAATTACACTAGATAAATAATACTATGTTGTGATTGATTTTACATGGTAGGCTTTGTGGAAATATGTTATTGTAGACACTGCTATATGATCTCTGTTCTTAATTGATCTGAAAGTCAACATTTTAAATGGCTAGAAATGAGAATTTGACTGTCAATGGTAGTTTTATCATTATGTAACACATTTAGCGGCGTTTTAGAATATTACAATTAAATTTAGTTTATTAGTTTACAACAGTATGATTAATTAAGTTGGCCCCCCAGCCTTCGCTTGCTCTTTATTGAAATTCTTCTGGCTCATGCCTTTTACTCTAGGCATGCATTTGGGAAATTCAGAAGTGTGGCATTATTTCATTGTCCATGGTGTTTTGGGATCTCCTTCAATTTTCCACTATGTATTCCTTTATATTTTCATTGTGCAGTTTATATTGTTGTAATGGATTACAGTGTTTTGTTTCAATTTTCATCAGGGAGATAATGTACCCCTTCCTTTAACATCATTTGAAGCTACTGGTTTTCCTTCAGAGCTTCTTCGAGAGGTATGAATTTCTTTCTATATTTGCAACTCTATATTGGCCAGAAGTCTATGCAAGTTTACTTTGATATGTAATCTTAGTGTTTTCTGTGAAAACTTTTGTGATTGCTGGAGGTCTGATGTGAAGCTTCATGACTCACGTTCATTATTTTCCATCTTTACTTTTTGTCACAGGTGCGATATTTGCTCCAAGGAGGAGCTAAATGTCGTATGCTGTGATACCCCCTTATGAGGGGTTTGGAGAGGGATTGTGTACTGTAATTTGGTCAATGTTGCTTGCTTAATAGATTATATAATAAGAAATCATTTTACATGTTCTGTGTGAAATGTACTACGTGATTCAAGTACTATCTATGCTATTAGCATGTGGATATTTCATGCCAAAGTATCCTTATGTTCGTCTTTGCAGTCCCTAGTTAATATTAGTAGACACGATCGGGTTCCACAAATGTAGGAATATCATTAGTTATCATCCTTGGTATGTGGTTGATTTCATACTACTATCTTAGGTTTGATGATAAAATAATTGCTCATCTAACGAATTTGTACTGGGCAGTTTGATAATTTGGCTATGTATATTTTTATTTATTTGGCATCTGTTCATATGATCATATCTAAAATAATAAAGAAAATTTTTTGTAGTCTTTGAACCACTGTTATGCAATTTTTAGAATTTGTTTGCTAATTAGGTTTAAATTGTCAACTTTTTACAACCTTATTTAGGAGATTTGTTACATAAGTTCTTTGTTTTTGACTCTTCTCATCGTTTTGTTAATGATTTGAAGGAATTTATTTGTAACTATATGCTTTTGAACATTTTGTTATTCACTTGAGCCTGAAGTGAATAATGAACAGATGTCAATTGGATAAGGAATTATCTTCACTTTGGGAAGGGAATTATTTTCAACTGTTTGTGTTGTGTCAGTAATTAAACAGTAATTTATGGTCAATAGCTTTGTTGCTTGGAACAAGATGTGGTTGGTCTAAACAAAGCTCTATTAACTGGTCATGAAGTGGGATTCAAGGGGGCTACTTACAAAGCTCTGTGAACTGGTAACTTCTGGTCATGACAAAATCTTTAAATTATGTAATTCAGGTTGTCTCATCGTGATCGCTTCAGCCGAAGTCTTCCTTGAAGAACGTTTTCACGGTATTTTCTCTCTCTTTAGCTCTTGTTTTTTAATTCTTGCTTGTTGATTTTTGCTTGCATTTCGAGATTCCTGTGATTTTTCAATGGTTTAGTGTGGAGTGAATTGATGTCGAATTTGATATTTTGAAGTTGAATCAGGGGAGCACAATAAAAAAATAATAATTGTTGCAGAGGCACACAGGCTGGAATTGCAATGATAGGACATGTGGAGCTTACTCCTCGAGCCATCAGTGTTCTTGGAGGATTTAGGCCCCAAGGAAAAAATATTGCTAGTGCTGTCAAAAGTCAAAATCTCTCCTTAGTATGCATACATGACATAAGAGAGCTGATTGTGAGCTCTAAAAAAATAAGCACTAATAGCTCTAATGAGCTGGAAATATTAAAATTTGATATTTTGAAGTTGAATCAGGGGAGCACAATAAAAAAATAATAATTGTTGCAGAGGCACACAGGCTGGAATTGCAATGATAGGACATGTGGAGCTTACTCCTCGAGCCATCAGTGTTCTTGGAGGATTTAGGCCCCAAGGAAAAAATATTGCTGGTGCTGTCAAAAGTCAAAATCTCTCCTTAGTATGCATACATGACATAAGAGAGCTGATTGTGAGCTCTAAAAAAATAAGCACTAATAGCTTTAATGAGCTGGAAATATTAAAAAATAAATAAATAAATAAAAATAAAAAATCCAACAAAGACACCCATCACATTATGGGGGAGCCAGCTCACTAGTGCTCCTTTTTAGTGCTCCCAAGCATTTTTGCATGACATAAATACTTCATAATTTTTGCTGATAAAAAAAAACATAAATACTTCATAATTTCATATATAATCAAATATATTCACACACAAATTTGCATAATTTATTTTAGTGTTGTGATGCTAAATTGGCTTGGTTTTTGTAGGTTGTTGAGTTTGCCTTGACTTTGCAGGAAGCTGGGTGCTTTTCTGTTGTTTTGAAATGTGCACTTGCACTTGTTGTTGTTGCCACTATAACATCTGCTCTTCGAATCCCTACCACTGGTATTGGGGCAGGGACTTTCTGTAGTAGCCAAGTTAATTGATTCTTTAGCTTTTTCTAATACTCCTAATAATGAATTAGACTTGACTGGCTTGTGTTGTGTATAATCTTTTTGCTTTCATTTGTACATATAATTTGCTATTTGATCTTGTAATTTACTTTTCAAGTACTAAAATGGGCATTTTAATGATATCATGTGTTCATATATTGAGTTTACTCATATAATAAATTTTGAATTTGCTCTCTCTCTTTATATATATATATATATATTAAAAATAATTTTTTACGGCATATAAAATTATGTCATGAAAAGTATAGCGATCCTGGTTTTTTCCCGTCATTTATCGTATTCTAGACTCGGGATCCATGGCCGTATGTAGTTGTCTATACCTTATTTCCATCATTTACTCCTTGAATTTGAGTTTTGGAATGTCTTGGGCGTATTTAGAACAAGTTGGTCGCTAATTGGTCTAGAACCTTGTTGTCCAGAATTTTGGTATTCTGCTCGAACGAGTCTTTTTGCGCTTGAACGGGGTTTGTAATCCTTCAGTACCTTGTGCGTTTGCAAAAATACTGCAGAGGTATTTTTCACCCTCGAGTGGCGTTTCTTAAGCTCGAGCGGGTCTGAGCTTGAGCGGTCTCTCTGGCGCTCGAGCGGCTGTCTGAAATCTATAAAATATTGGACGAGTGTATTCTATGCTCGAGTGGGTCTCATTGCGCTCGAGCGGGTAGTGTCTTGCTGTTAAGTCTTGGCGCTCAAGCGGCCTTTATTGCGCTTGAGCGGGTCTAATTTTTATGTCTGACGCTCGAGCGTCAAAGTCTCCGCTCGAGCGAACTGTATGTATATCAGATCGCAAAAGATTCTTTTTAAATCACTTTTTCTGTCCTTTCTCTCTCTGAAACTTTCCAAAAACCTAAATTCACACCCTCTCTCTACAATACTCCATCTCTCTACTTTTTGGCCTAGATCAAGTGATCTCTACATCCTTGTGTCTTCTTTAAAAAGTTAGAGCATCTCAAGATCTACCTTTTGAACCGAATAGAGTGGGGTTTCGGCATCTTTGGAGTTCATCTCTTGCTTGGCTCTTCTTCTCTTCTTGAGGTAGGGATAATCTACTCATTTCTATGAGCTTTAACATAAATATTAGTCATTTTGTATAAATGGTTGGTTTGGGTGAAGTTAGGGTGTAAGTTTAAATGATTAAAAGAGGGGTTTCCTATTATTGGGTTTCATTTGTATGTGAGGTCTTGAAAATGGGATTGTTGTGTGAAATGGGTGAGATTTGACCTTGGGAGCAACATTGGAGAAAAATGGAGGGAAAGCCCTAATTTGAACTATAAAAGTTATTTGCATAAATAATGAAAATGATGTGGAAATATGAAATTGTTTTGAAAATCATGAAATTGGAGGAAATTGCGATTAAATGGTGTAGTTGGATTGATGAATCACTCATCTATGGAAAATGTGATAAATTATCTGTTGAGAAATTTATTTATTTGTTTAGATATATCTGTTTTGGGCGATCGATGGAGGATAGCCATAATTGTTGTAGAAACTGCATGTTGATTAGGTAAATTGAAACTAATCAATTGAAATATGTCATTGAATATGACGGTTGGATGTAAAACATTGTATATGTGATTGAATTGGTCATTGTATATGACAACATATTTAAATACATTGTATATGTATCTTTGTTTGGGAGAAGATAGGGGATGTACTCCATTGTTTGGGAGGAGATAGAAGATGGACTCCATGGATAATTAAGTTGGCCGGAGTGTCCAGGGTGAAAGTCTCGAAATCTTATTTATATTTAGGTACCTGTTCTCTCGGACGTAGTTCCGTAAAATGGCAAGATATGGAAGTGTATGAATGATATTTACGATTGAAGTGTTGATGAATGTGTTGTAGTCTCATTTTGAATTGTTTATATGATAATGTATTATGTCAATGAATTGACTTGGGTAAATAACTGGAAGTGAATTGAAATATGGGCGCCAATATTGATTGATTATGGAAAATGTTTAAGATGGTTTGTGAGTGTTAAACATTTATCGAATGCTAATGTTTTAGTTAATTCTCATATACTGTTTAGCATATCTCTACTAGGTTGTGGCTCACCCTACTTGGGACACCATTTTTCAGGTACAGGGGACATGCCACCTCCAAGGTCTTAGCTTGGGAAGTTTAGGAGTTGAAGACTCCTTTTTGATATTTTGTAGTTCCGTAAAATGGCAAGATATGGAAGTGTATGAATGATATTTACGATTGAAGTGTTGATGAATGTGTTGTAGTCTCATTTTGAATTGTTTATATGATAATGTATTATGTCAATAAATTGACTTGGGTAAATAACTGGAAGTGAATTGAAATATGGGCGCCAATATTGATTTATTATGGAAAATGTTTAAGATGGTTTGTGAGTGTTAAACATTTATTGAATGCTAATGTTTTAGTTAATTCTCATATACTGTTTAGCATATCTCTACTAGGCTGTGGCTCACCCTACTTGGGACACCATTTTTCAGGTACAGGGGACATGCCACCTCCAAGGTTTTAGCTTGGGAAGTTTAGGAGTTGAAGACTTCTTTTTGATATTTTGTTTGATGTTAAATGTAAATCCAAGCCGAGGGCTTTTTATGTACAGAGTTAGAACTCTTCTTTTGTTGTAACCAAGTGATAACTTAAAAAGCTGTAAGCCCGCAGGGAATTTACTTTATTGATAACATGTAATATCTTTTGTAAAGAGGACTCTGGTGAAATGAAGATGTATTCTTTTCTTTATGTTCATGGAACTCGTAAATGTATGATTTATGACTTATATTGAGGGCGTCACAAAAAGTGTAATGATTTATGACATACAAGAAAATGTCATAAAAGATTATACACAGCATACAAAGTATGTCATAAATATATTAAAAATGACCTTTTACGGCATACACAATTATGTCGTGAAAAGTGATGATTTATGACATGCAAGAAAATGTCGTAAAATATTATATACGGCATACAAAGGCGGTGTTTGGGAACTTGGTTCTTGAGGTTTTTTTTCATTACAAGACAAATGTTTTACAAAACCAAAAAAAACAAATCCAAACAAAAGATCACATCAAACTCCATAATCATTTCACTTTTTCTCTCACAAACATCACATTCAATCCTAAAAAAACCTAACTATCTTCCCAAATACAAAAAAAAAAAATTTCTCCAACAATATCCTATAACTAAAAAAACCTACAAAAAAAATCACTTCCTAAACACTCACAAAGTATGTCATAAATATATTAAAAATAACCTTCTATGGCATGCACAATTATGCCATAGAAACTATGATGATTTATGGCATGATAAAAATGTCGTAAAAAATTATATACGACGTATAAAGTTTGTCATTAATGTTTAATTTATTACTTTTTACGACTTTACCTGCATGCCGTAAATAATGCTCAACTTTCCACAACATGTCATATAACGGCATTTGTATGCATGCCGTGAAAGAGTTTTTACGACATGCATTGCAAGTCATAAAAATTTCTATTTTGTTGCAGTAGAGGTAGAAACTTGTCTTGGAAGACGCTGACAAAAGCCTTTCAAGTCATCCCAATGCGTCCATGCACATACTTCTACTACTGACCCGCATCTCCCTTCAGCTAGAAGGATACGAAGGTCAATCGCAACTAGTCGTTCCCAATGCCAAGCATCTCGAACGTTTTTTACTATCTGCTCCAACCATTTACCTGCCTTCAGTGGCTCCTTAGGATTCCCTACAAACTCATTCGAATTCGACCGGAAAAACTTCCGCTTTAAGAAAGACAATCATGCCTCAGCTACTTGGGCCTGGACTTGATTCTCAGCTCTAAGAATATCCATAAACTCTCGCAATGCTTCAGCCATTTCTTGGGCCAAGGCATCCATGGCCTGTTAACCATTGGTTCGGCCACATTGGCCTAACCAACCCATTTTTCTTGCCCCAGAATTTCATCCGGTAAAAGGCATCTCATGCCTCTTAGGCCTACCACGCCCACCACTACCTCATCTACGTCCATATCCACATCCTGACATCCTAATGAAGGTAACAAAAGAGATTAGCACATTTACAAATGTGTCGAAATTAACTCACTTGTGTCCTAAGACTGTGGACAACGGTAATTTACTTCACATAAGCACGTAATCACGTAAACATATACAAATTTCATTCCAAGATAATGATCATCTCGTGGCGTTGTCAGAGTTCCAATTAAAAACAGCAATGATCAAATGCATTTCTAATAGGACTCCTAGAAGCTTGTAGACTCGATCAACATCCTAGAAATTAAATCTCATACCTATATAATCACGTAAGCATGTTATCATATAAGCACACATCATTCATACTAAAGTCTCTATCAAGTGAGACAAATCCATTGTGGTACTAACCACTTCTTACATACCTAAAGTATTCAAATCCGGTACACTCTGATACCAAGTTGTAACGCCTCCAAAATAATCACAATAAACCAACTCCAAACACTAAAACGATATGATATAAATAAAGTAAAAAGCTTTCATTAATCAGAGTCAATATACAAAAGGAGACACATGCGATATACATTCATAAATTGAATCTTGAATCTACAACATGTGTTACAAGAGGTAATAGGAAATGAAAGTTAAACAGGTATTCATATGCCCTAATAGCTTACATCTTTCCAAGACTGTGCTTGGTTACAACAAAAAAAGTCATTAGCTCAATACAAATAAAGCTCTAGGCTTGAAAAACAAGTAAATACAAAATTAAAAAAAGTGAGCCTTCAACTCCATAATCCTCTCAAACTAAATCCTTGGCTCCGCACATCACCAGCACCTAAAAATATTTTTCCCAAGTAGGGTGAGCCAAAACCCAGTATAAATAATCTAACATAATATACGAATCTTAACAAAAATATAAATATGATGTGCCTATATAATGCCTGTAACAAAAATCATTTACAACTCTTTTGCAAACCATGCCATGCCATGCCAAAGTTTATATCACAATTCATGCTATCTTAATCTCCCTTTTATCTCAGTTCATTTTACCTCAATTCATGAGTTATTTTCCATTTATTACAAACAACCAAACTAAGGATACAACTCAAAGGCTCTCAAATCAATATGGTCACCACACAAGAACTTCCATTTGCCATTTTACGGAAATTTCGTCTGCAGAAATCGGCATCCATATA